GAAATGTCTTAAGTCAATAAGTATTCAACCCCTTTGTTATGGCAAGCCTAAATAAGTTCAGGAGTAAAACTTTGCTTAACAAGTCACATAATAAGTTGCATGGACCTCACTCTGTGTGCAATAATAGTGTTAAACATTATTTTTGAATGACTACCTTATCTTTGTACCACACACATAAAATGAAGTGTAAGGTCCCTCAGTAGAGCAGTGAATTTCAAACACTGATTCAACCACAAAGACCAGGGAGGTTTTCCAATGCCTCACAAAGAAGGGCACCTATTGGTAGATGGGTAAAAAAACAAAAAAAAACTCTTCATTGAAATTCCCTTTGCGCATATTAATTACACTTTGGATGGTGTATCAATACACCCAGTCACTACAAAGAGGCATCCTTCCTAACTCAGATGCCGGCGAGGAAAGAAACTGCTCAGGGATTTCATCATGAGGCCAATGGTGACAAAATTACAGAGTTTAATGGCTGTGATAGGAGAAAACTGAGGATGGATCAACAACATTGTAGTTACTCAACAATACTAACCTAATTTTGTCCTGAATATAACATATTACTGAGTACCATTCTCCATATTTTCAAGCATAGTGGTGGCTGGATCATGTTATGGGTATGCTTGCAATCATTAAAGACTGGGGAGTTTTTCAGGATAAAAAAGACACAGAATGGAGCTAAGCACAGGCAAAATCAGAGGAAAATCTGGTTCAGTCTGCTTTCCACCAGACACTGGGAGATGAATTCACCTTTCAGCAGGACAATAACCTAAAACACAAGGCCAAATCTACAATGGAGTTGCTAACTAAGAAAACACTGAATGTTCCTGATTGACCGAGTTACAGTTTTGACTTAAATCTACTTAAAAATCTATGACAAGACCTGAAAATGGCTGTCTAGCAATGATCAACATCCCATTTGGCAGAGCTTGAACATTAAAAAAAAAGAATAATGGACAAATGTGGCAGGTGTGGAAAGCTCTTAGAGACTTACCCAGAAAGACTCACAGCTGTAATCGCTGCCAAAGGTGCCAAAGTATTGACTCAGGGGTGTGAATACTTATGTAAATTATGATATTTCTGTATTTCATTTTCAATAAATAAGCAACAATTTCTAAAAACATATTTTCACTTAGTCGTTATTGGGTTTTGTGTGTAGCTGGGTGAGACAAAAAATCTATTTAATAAATGTCTAATTCAGGCTGTAACACAACAAACTGTGGAATAAGTCAAGGGGTATGAATACTTTCTGAAGGCACTGTACACTATCTGATTTTGAATATATTGTAAAAAATATATGAACTGGTGAAAAAAGTATTTCAATATAAAGACCTTACAGTAAAATAAACATCTAAATAATGAGATAAACAATGTGTAGGGAATATTCTCTAATGCACTGCAATAATTGTTTTTGAAACATGTTCTTGGTTAAAATACAAACCCCCAAAAAACAAGACAGCTATTGTGTAAGAAAAGATTTGTTTTGGAAAAAAAGGAAACACCATGTACATATATAATACAATTTTGTAAATGAAAAATTATTTACACTTGTAAATTCTTACTTTTAAATCTTCACACTGGCTAGTTTTGTCTTTTCTAATGTTATTGCTGCTTTTTTGTCCTCCATTTAGCAAAATGGTTCTTGTTTAAAAATAATAAATCATTTATCCGTTTTTTTCTTTTACTTGGGAGCAAAGAGCCAATGTTGTCATTTTGTCCCTTTTTTGTAGAAAACCATGAAAAGGAAACTACAAATATCAAATTCATTTGAGTGTAAAAACAACTATAAAATGTACCAATTTTAGGTCTGCAAAAGTCACAGACTCAGTGTCAGTCTCTAAATAACATTGGCCTTTCTAATATTGGTTAAGACATGGGGCTTCGACATAATGCCCTCTTCACTAGTTAGAGATGTCCACCTTTGGATAGACAGACCAAATCACATAAAAATGGTAGACCATCGTTTTCTACAACCAAGAGTTAACCTCATAATACCGCATAGCTATGGTATCTGTTGATAGCTATAATTGTTTTTAACATGCATATCTCTAAAAGAGCATTTCTGAATAAATTAAAGATATAATTCAAAATGCCTTATTCTATTTTTATTTTTTTACAATTACAAGTCATTAAATTGTTTCTGCTCAAAAAGAAGAGTAAATGGAATTACTGCCTTAAACTGCATTGGATTAGAAATACTGAAAAAAAAGCTGCATCTTGTAGCTTGAGCAATGTAGTCAAGTCAGGCCTATCCAGAGGGATAGTGCAGAGAGAAGAGAGAATGTTCTAGAGACTCCCCCCGAGAGTGCAAAAAGAAAATGTCCCCTCCGTCGACAGTGTCTGCACTTTGTGATGGGCATGACATCTGCACTGTGACGGTAATGACATCCCATGGTGGAGTTGACTCTGAGCACGTTCCTACTGAGGCCAGATACAAACAGTTACTTCATCGTCAGTGTTCCTGATCTGGAAAACCCTCTGCCCACTTTCAGGCACTTCAGGTTGTCCAGCATTGCGTTTGAACTTCAGGTTGTGTTTTTGCGTGTATGTGTAAAGTTATTTTTCTTGAACTATGTAATAAACATGGTTAGATTCCTCTAAAAAAGACAGGTTTGCTGTATAACACAATAAATCCCCTTACATGTACAGTATCAATGCCCAATAATGACTATATGTATGGCAAACCTTCTCAAATGTCATGCATATGAATGAAAATATATGAGTTTTCTATTGGAAAAAGGAACATAAGAAACAAGCAATAAAAATATCCCACATTAAAAACAACATCAACAACCAAAGGAAAATAGCATAAACAAAATGTACATTCTGATTGCATTGTACCCACTGTGTGTAGTGGAGCATTATAAAATGTATTTTTTTTATTAAATCACCTTTATATTTTTTTTATTAATCATCTTTATATTTTTCAGGTAAATATGTGAGCAATGTGTCTTCGGACTGTTATAATCACTGGTTTCCCATGAGTGGTCTAACAGCACTGTGTTTCACCCCTTGGAACGTGGATGAATCATTCTCGTATTAATAAATACCAACGTTTTAGGAGAGTTGGGTGCCCAAGCCATTCTGTCTTTCTATTTTGATGAGTGTTAATTGACAACAAAAAGGGTATAATTAGTGCCAAAAAAGATTGAAATGACAATTTTCGACAGCCCAAACTGTATCAACATGTAGACCCCTTTTTTCTCTTAATGTATTTACACTATTTTGTCTTAAACACATGATTACATTGCATTTAAATGAGTTGCATTTAATAACAAAAATGCTCACTTGGATTTGTATTGTTGTTGTCATGGATATGTCCTCTCCAATGTAAGATTGAAGACAATAGTGGGAGTATAAGGCATTATAACAGTATTTTGTTATGACAAAGTGCGATTCAATATTGTAAAGTAAAAGAAAAAAACACATCTATATTTACATACCATCATCTAATTAAAAATAAAATGTTGTGGTTCTGGCTAAAGGCGCCACTTCCAGACCTAAAATCATAGCATTCAAAAATGGTATTTTTGATCTTCATTTGAGCAAGTCATGCCAACTCTCGCTAATCAAATGAAAAGGAGTAAACCCAGGTAAGCTGGTTTTAACCAACAGCCCCAGGGGAAACCCAGCAGAAGTCTTGTGTACAAATCTGGGCTTCAGATTGCATCCAGATACAAATTGATCATAAAGTTCATCTTTATAAGATAGACTTTTGGGTTTTAACCCAAATGCTCGCGAACACATAATGACGACAAGTATGTATGTTGTTTCGATGTATTTGTGTGAACATCTCTTGTTGTTAATATCTAAATGAAGTGCTCATTCTAAAAGGTGTGCCTGAACACACAGATACAGGGCCTGTGCCAAAGAGAGAAAACATCTAGTCCAATGCAATCCTCCGCACCCCTTCCATAGTAAACTTTATGATGTATTTCTGGAATAGTAGAACAAACTTGATACTTCTCCTCAATGGATCACAATGGCCTCCTCTACACACCGACTAACCATGATGGCACTGGTGGTAGTTTGTCTTGCATGCTGTCTGTTAATATCTTTCATTTTTTTCAAGCTCCTATAGCGCAAAGAAGCAAAGAAAATGTTTTTGTTTCGGGTTTTTTTACATATCGCTATGCAGTCTCTTAAATAGCTTATAAGGTCATGAAATTCTTCAACTTCTTCACGGGAAACGAAGCAGGAGCCCTGCTGGGGCACGTCTGAAGAGTCCAGTCATACGGCCCGGCTCCTCTGCCATTTTGACAGTCCTCCATTTTGCCTCTAAACAGGCCAGTTGTAAAATTATTGTATTATTATCTTTTTCTTTATCATACAAAAGTCTTTATCTAAAATGCTCACCAGTTTCAGTCTCAGAAAATACAGGCACAACCATATTTTGTGCTATATATATATATATATATATATATATATATATATATATATATATATATATATATATATATATAATATATATAATTTTTTTTTCTTCTCCAATTTTCAGTTTGTGGAAGGGAGGTGAGTTTCAGTGCTTGTCCTAGTAACAACTTGGTCCGTGTACAAATACCAACAACTAGTAACAACTTGGTCCGTGTACAAATACCAACAACTAGTAACAACTTGGTACATGTACAAATACCAACCACTAGTAACAACTTGGTACATGTACAAATACCAACAACTAGTAACAACTTGGTACATGTACAAATACCAACAACTAGTAACAACTTGGTACATGTACAAATACCAACCACTAGTAACAACTTGGTCCATGTACAAATACCATGTTTGACTTGCTTTGTTTCTCTCTCCAAGGATGCATACGTGAGGATGGATACACGCACATATAGAGGATCAATATATCTGCTTTACTCTATCATGTCTCTGTCATCTCAGTCTCTCTGGTTGGATGAGGCGGGGGGGCGGGGGGTGGGGGGGGGGGCGTAGTTTTGTTTCGGGGTGCTGATAATGGGGGATTGGCGGGGGGTTGGTTGTGGGAAGGGTTAGTTGTTGACGGGGGTGTCCTTGGTAGGCGTGTCCTGCTCCTTGGGCCACAGCTGCTGCTGCAGCTCCTTGACCACTCTCTCCAGGTGTTCCCTGGCCTCCCGCTCCTGCAGTAGGTCTGCCCGGAGCTGCTCGCGGTCCGCCTCGGCATGCTGGAGCTTCATCTGCAGGTCCTCCATCTGGAACAAAACAAAAAGCACCATGAAGGGATATATGCCTGGTGTGTCTACTTTCAGCATTTCCTGTCTTTTCTTATTTACTACCTAATATCATGTTTTGAACTCTTAAAAAACACACACACACACACAGACACACACAGACACACACACACACACACAGCCATTGGCCACATCCTTCCCCCTGCCCGTGCAAACCTCTAAGTCTCTCCACATCCTGCCCAGACACACATTAAGACTAGCCTTAGCCCTAACCCTAACCCAGACACACAACAGTGAACATTGGGACTAACCCTGACACAGACCTAACTTAGCTGTCTCCCCAAAGCCCATAAACACTATAAAAACTATAAACATTTTAAACATTCACTCAAATAAAGGCTTTTATGACAGGGCTTTATGACAGGGCTGGAAAGTGAATTGTTCTTTTTAGAGAAACTACAGACAGGAATCCAGTGTACCGCCCCTTTGTTTTGTCTAATCTACATTTCCCATGATGCTTAAGAGGAACTAGACGTCTCTTCCTGTTTCCTCTTTGGGCTAGCACTTATCTCGCGTCTGTGCTCTTTGGGTTACACCCATTTATTTTCGACAAGGACTTTTTTTCTCTCTTTCCCCATTGACCATGAGAAGACTTAGCCTTGGTGTTAGACAGAAATGTTGCAATTACTTTGACGTCTAGCCACCGTTCGGAGTGTTTATGTCTTCAGACTCAGACTACAGACACTGACTATGGCCTCTGCTCTGTCTGGGTTTGAGTAGCCTGTGTGTGTGTGTGTTGTGTGTGTGTGTCCTCACCTGTGCCGAGTACTTGGTGCGCAGACGGCCCGCCTCGCAGCCCTTGTCGCACACTCGGAGCTGCCGGGCCTGCTCCAGCTCCCTCTTCAGATGCACGCGCGACTCGTTAGCCTCCTTCATCTTCTTCTCGCTCTCGGCGCGAAGGCGCTCAATCTCCTTCCTCAGGTTCCGCTTGGCCTCCGTGGCCTCCCTGAGCTTCTCTTTCTTAGCCAGCCGCAGGAACTCCAACTCCTAGGGAACAGTTCACACATACACATGAGCACTAAAGGTAGCATTCCTGAGTTAGCATTAACTAATTAGCATTCCTGAGTACAGGTTAGCGTAACCTAATTAGCATACAGAGGAAGAGTTGGCATTAAACTTATTAAAGGACGCTAAACCAAACAACAAGCTAGCTGTTGACATTGAGCCTGGGGAAACCCTGTTGAACTTTGAACCTTGTGAAACTCATTGCGAACTCCTCGAAAACAGATAAAGAGCTATCATTAAACAAAAAGCAATGAAAGCTCATCCAAACACAATGTAAGCTTAATGTAACATTAAGATTGTGAAAAACATTATTCTGCACAATGTCTATAACTGTGTTATAAGACATGTTAGAAGTTGTACAAGTCAAGTGGTTTCAGCCAAGGGATGCAGAGTTAAGAGCTTGTAGGCTAGCTACTGATACATTCATAGGAAGATCACTAAATAAAGCTTTCTTCTATATACTGGACATGTTCGAAGCATTCCAATACACCACAGCCCAGTGTTTACTAGAGGTCAAGGGTTAAGAAGATGAGAGGGTGAACAGAAGTGAGGTTTCCTTCCTCTTTGAAACTGCGAGACTAACAGATTTCTCTTGCGTACGTGTGTGTGTGTGTGTGTGTGTGTGTGTGTGTGTGTGTGTGTGTGGAAACACACTTGTCATGGGAACCTAACTGCCAGGACAAGCGTATCTGTCGTCAAGCTTTGTTAGCTACCTCGTTAAAGTCTGGTGAAAAGAACACAACTACAATCCCCCATTCTACTTCTTGCTCAATTTACTAAATGTCCTGTTTGGTAAATGAAGTAGAACTTTTGAACAAAAGTGATTGCTTACTCTCATCTGGCTGCTGTTTTAAACTGGGACGTTTGTTTTGTTAGTGATACTCACAGACAATGACTTAACGTAAGCCAAGTGGAATGCAGTCATTCAAGAATGTTCCGTCTCAGAGGATGCACGTTGTGTACCATCGCGCACAGTTGTCGCTTGTTTAAAATATATATATATATATATATTGGTATATTTCCAAGACCAAAATAAAATGGAAGTCTGCCCCGACTGCTTTTGCAGCAACATCCGTTTAACGTTTTTTTGCCAAGTCATAGTGTAAGCTGCCAGGCCTCTGAGTTAGAACACTTCTGTATTAGTTGCTTAATGCGTGTACAGTACTTTCCCATTTCTTAACACTTTCCCCTCTGTCTAGCACTTAGAGTTTGAGGAAATTAAGACACACTGGCATTAACAAAAACAGGGCTAAAGCCTAGGCATTAGCTGTGGGAGCTAACGCGAGTCCTCTGATCTTAGCTAAGGTTCCCCATCACACAGGGATAGTTCATCAGCCTTTCTATGCAAAGCATATATGTATATTTTATACGTGTTTATGGATATTTGATGATATATTTGTGAATTGGGGTATAGCATAGTTGATTAACGGGTCTCTGTACCTGTTGAAGGCTGCGTTTGGCCTGCAGGGCTGAGCCCAGCTTCTCCTCCTGCTTCACCCTCATCTTGACGATCTCATGCAGGAACTTCTCCTTAGACTCCTTGGAGTCCAGCCCGCTGTCCAGCGCCTGCCTCATGATCTCCAACTCCGACTCCAGACCCCCGGGGCCGGGGCCCTCAGGGGCCAACACCACCGCCGCTACCCCAGCGAGAGGGCCACCCACGGGGCTCAACACTGCAGAAGTCACCGTACACACCGGGACCTGGGCGCCGGGCGAGCTCATGTCCTTGGCTGAGCTGGAGGAGGTGAAGGATGGGGAGGACAGGGAGGACAGGGAGGAAGTGACTGGGGTAAGAGAGGGGAGAGAGTGGAAGGTTACGTTTTGTGTCAGTGTAAGAGGTTTTCGGCTGTTGACAACAATCTTTCAAACATAAAATGTTTCTGAGTTACTCACATTCCTCTCGGCTCTCCACCTCGATCTCCACTTCCGAGTCCTTGTCCTCCTGGGGTGGAGGCTTGCTGGCTACAGCCGATGGGGGACAGGGGGGCTCCCCTGTGGCCCTCCTCTTCCGGGGCCTGGAGATGGGGCTGGCCCCCTTTCCTGGGGCCTCGCCGGTGCTGGGGTGGGAGGTGCTAGGCACAGATGGGGACAACAGGGGCCCTGCCTTTGTCAGGGGTGGGGGCGTGAGGGCCACGTTTGGGGACACAGCGTTCTCCATGGTCTTGAAGTTGTAGAGGCTGAGAGGGAGAGATGGAATGAGGGAGAGAGAGAGAGAGAGAGAGAGAGAGAGACAGCGAGAGAGAGAGAGAGAGAGAGAGAGAGAGAGAGAGAGAGAGAGAGAGAGAGAGAGGATGATGTCAGAGGGGGTTGATCTTCAGGTGCCTTTGGTTGGACTACAGGGAAAGAATGTAGAATGTTCGACAATTAACTAAGAATGAGCATGCGTGATACTTTATTTCTGAATCCAAAATGGGTTTGGCTCGATCAGGGAGATCCAGAGCCACTTGTAATATTCCGTTGGATATTCACTCCTACTAAGTGAAAAATGGATCAGATCAAGTGTGTGTGCTCCTGTATGAATGTAATGTGTGTAATGTTCTTATGTGTGTGTGGTGATTCACGCCGAGTGGGTGCCCACGGTTGAGTGTGTGTGAGTGGTGCCATGTGGGAGGCAGTGGGACCGTCAGCCCCGCCCCTCTAACCTCAGCCCACCCAGACAAGCAGGTGGTCCCTCCTGATAGTGAAGCATGCTGGGAGGGAGCACATCCATCACATGGGAATGAGCACAAAATTCCCATCCAAAATGGCTGCCGTAGCTGTGTTCTCAAAACAACCAAACAGTTGCTGCTTTTAAAGCTTGGTGTACTATGTTGACGTGTGTTTAAAGCTTGGTGTACTATGTTGACGTGTGTTTAAAGCTTGGTGTACTATGTTGACGTGTGTTTAAAGCTTGGTGTACTATGTTGACGTGTTGTTTAAAGCTTGGTGTACTATGTTGACGTGTGTTTTAAAGCTTGGTGTACTATGTTTGACTGTGTGTTTAAAGCTTGGGTACTATGTTGCGTGTGTTTAAAGCTTGTGTACTATGTTGACGTGTGTTTAAAGCTTGGTGTACTATGTTGACGTGTGTTTAAAGCTTGGTGTACTATGTTGACGTGTGTTTAAAGCTTGGTGTACTATGTTGACGTGTGTTTAAAGCTTGGTGTACTATGTTGACGTGTGTTTAAAGCTTGGTGTACTATGTTGACGTGTGTTTAAAGCTTGGTGTACTATGTTGACGTGTGTTAAAAGCTTGGTGTACTATGTTGACGTGTGTTTCTTCAGGGTAGTTTGTTGTTATGAGTATATTGTGCTCACCTGTCTCTCAGGAGAGCCAGAGGGCGGCTGGGCGTGTCTTTGTCCCCAGCTGAGAGGTTAGGGGACCAGGGCCTGAAAGCCGAGGGCCTTTGTCTGGGCTGGAAAAAGTTGAGAGTCTTATTGGCCGAAGCCGAGAGGGATCGTAGCCAATCGGGTTGCTTCTCGGACAGGGGCAGCGATGGGAAGTCTTCATGTTTAGACTTCTTGGCTGGGATGGGATCTGATGCCTGGAGAGAGAAGAGAAAATATCATGTTAGAAGGTCAAGGTCAAGTCTACGTTCTACTCTGAGAGGGGCCCTTTCCTTTGTCCAGCGGAGGGCAATTTGAGCCGTGCTGCCCGTTTGGCATCCTCACTGGCCTGCCAGTCTGAACTAAACTGAAAAACACACCCAGAGGTGTCAGATGGCTCAGCCAGTGTGTGTGTGTGTGTGTGTGTGTGTGCGTGTGTGTGAGAATGATCTCAGTATAAATAAGAGCCAAATCAACAATAACTCCTTCAGACAGGTGTCGCGGAAAAGGCGTCTGACAATTCAGAGTATGAGTGTGTGTAAATTTAGGAGGGGTGTTGACAGAGTGTGTGTGTGTGTGTATGTGCTTGAGGATTATTAAAGTGTTAGACAACACACTCGAGCTTGCAAGCCCTTCCTAACCATCTGGTATATTGACTGAGGTTGAGCTTGTTTTGTGCAAAAAACAACAACAACATGTCCACAGCAAAGCTACATCGCTTCAAATGATTACAGTACACACACACACACTCTGCACACGCCAGCACTCCAGACAATTGTATTACTTTCCACACCGTGTATTTCAGCAGAGGTGAGACCTCTCTCAGTCTCTGTCTCTCAGTCTCTGTCTCTCAGTCTCTCCTCTGTCCTCTTCAGTCTCTCTACCGCTCCTCGCTCTCTCGTCTCTCACTCCTCTCTGCCTCTCAGTCTCTGCCTCTCAGTCTCTGCTCTCTCAGTCTCTGTCTCGTCTCCTCAGTCCTCTGCCTCTCAGTCTCTCCTCTCAGTCTCTCTCTCATGCTCTGCCTCCCTCAGTCTCTGCCTCTCAGTCTCTGCTCTCATCTCTGTCTCAGTCTCTGTCTCTCATCTCTGCCTCATCTCGTCTCTCGTCTCTCAGTCTGCCTCTCAGTCTCTGCCTCTCAGTCTCTGCTCTCATCTCTGCCTCTCAGTCTCTCCTTGCCTCTCGTCTCTGCTCTCTCAGTCTCTGTCTCTCAGTCTCTGTCTCTCTCCAGTCTCATCCTGTCTCCAGTCTCTGTCTCTCAGTCTCTGCCTCTCAGTCTCTGCCTCTGCTCTCTCAGTCTCCTCTGCCTCTCCTCAGTCTCTGTCCTCTCAGTCTCTGTCTCTGCTCTCAGTCTCTGTCTCTCAGTCTCTTCTCTGTCTCTCGTCTCTCAGTCTCTGTCTCTCAGCTCTCTCTGTCCTCTCTCATCCTGTCTCCTCTGTCCTCTCATCTCTCTGTCTCTCGCTCTCCTCATCTCTGCTCTCATCTCTGTCTCTGCCTCTCAGTCTCTGCTCTCTCTCTAGTCCTCGTCCTCTCTCAGTCTCTGTCTCTGTCTCTCAGCTCCTCTCAGTCTCCTCTGTCTCTCTCTCAGGTCTCTCTGTCTCTCAGTCCTCCTCTCTGTCTCTGTCCTCTCAGTCCTCTGTCTCTCAGTCTCTCTCTCTCTGTCTCTCAGTCTCTGTCCTCTCAGTCTCTGCTCTCAGTCTCTGTCTCTCATCTCAGTCTCTGCCTCTCAGTCTCTGTCCTCTGCCTCTCAGTCTCTCAGTCCTCGTCTCTGTCTCTCAGTCTCTGCCTCTCAGTCTCTTGTCTCTCAGTCTCTGTCTCTCAGTCCTCAGCTCTCTCAGTCTCTGCCTCTCAGTCTCTGTCTCTCAGTCTCTGTCTCTCAGTCTCTGTCTCTCAGTCTCTGTTCTCTCAGTCTCTCTCTCAGTCTCTGTCTCTCAGTCTCTCTCTCAGTCTCTGCTCTCTCAGTCCTCTGTCTCATCTCGTCTCTCCTCTCTGTCCTCTGTCCTCTCAGTCTCTGCCTCTCAGTCTCTCCTCTGTCCTCTCAGTCTCGTCTCTCTCAGTCTCGTCTCTGCCTCTCAGTCTCTGCTCTCAGTCTCGTCTCTCAGCTCTCTGTCCTCTCAGTCCTCTGTCCTCTCAGTCTCTTCCTCCGTCTCTGCTCTCATCTCTGTCTCTCAGTCTCTGCCTCTCAGTCTCGTCTCCTCAGTCTCTGTCCTCTCAGTCTCTGCCTCTCACTCCTCTGCACTCGTCTCTGCCTCTCAGTCCTCTGCTCTCAGTGCTCTGTCTCTCAGGGCCCTCTTGCTCTCGTCTCTGTCTCTCAGTCTCATCTCTCAGTCTGTCCTCAGTCTCTGCCTCTCATCTCTGCCTCTCTCAGTCCTCTGCCTCTCAGTCCCTCTGCCTCTCAGTCTCTGTCTCTCTCAGTCCCCTGTCTCTACAGTCCTCTCGCTCCTCTCAGTCTCTGTCTCTAGTCTTGTCCTCTGTCTCTCAGTCTGTCTCGTGCCGTCTCAGTCGTCTGCTCTCAGTCTCTGCCTCTCACTCTGTCAGTCCTCCGCCCTCGTCCCCTCGTCTCTCAGTCCTGTCTCTCCTGCTCTCAGTCCCGTCTCCAGTCTCTGTCTCTCTCAGCCGTCTCTCAGTCCCTCGTCTCTCCCTCTGTCTCCATCTCCTGCCTCTCATCCGTCTCTGCTGCCGTCCATCTGTCCTGCTGCACAGTCTCCTCTTGTCTTCAGTCTCATCCGTCTCGCACCTCTGTCACCCCTGCTCCCCTCCTCTCAGACCCCTTCCTCAGCCCCTCGCCCCTGTCTCCTCAGTCTGCCGTCTGTCTCGATGTCTCTCAGTCTCTGGCTCAGTCCGTCTCTGCTCTCTTGCTTAACTCCTCCTCCAGATCCTGCTTAGACCCCGTCTCCGCCTGCCCACCTGTCTTCAGCCGTCCCAGCCGCTTGCTTGCCCTCAGTCTGTCAGGAGGTTAAACCCCAGGGCAGGTACTTGTTCGACTGCACAGACCCCTGCTCCATCTTGCTGTCAAGCCCCTCCTCCCCTGCGCACCTCCCCCCCCGACCTCTCCCCCAGACCCTCGACCCCTCCCCCGCCGCACCCCGTGTGCGGTGATGTGCATGCTGCTGAGTGGTGGACAAGCTCCAATGTAGCCTTACCCGCACAACCGTGCTATCTCTGACCGTGCGCCCAGTGCTCGACTCTCGACTGTAGAAGAAGTGCGCTAGAAGATGACGAACGACATGATCTGGACATCCCCCCAGCAGCCCTCCTCCCCCCATCACCCCCCTTTCTCCCTCCAGTGCTGGCATGTGCGTGTGTATGTTGCGTATGTGCGTGCGTGTGTATGTGTGTCTATGTGTGACAAAAGTCTCAGGGTTTCAGATTGTGTGGGTGTGACAGTAATAATACAAATCCTTCACTCTGTGGCCCAGGACCCCGGTGGCTGTACAGGACCCCGGTGGCTGTACAGGACCCCGGTGGCCCCGGACCCCTGTGGCTGTACAGGACCCCCGGTGGCCCCGGACCCCTGTGGCTGTACAACCCGGTGCTGTACAGGACCCCGGTGGCTGTACAGGACCCCGGTGGCCCCGACCCCGGTGGCTGTACAGGACCCCGGTGGCCCCGGACCCCTGTGGCTGTACAGGACCCCGGTGGCCCCGGACCCCTGTGGCTGTACAGGACCCCGGTGGCCCCGGACCCCTGTGGCTGTACAGGACCCCGGTGGCCCCGGACCCCTGTGGCTGTACAGGACCCCAGTGGCTGTACAGGACCCCAGTGGCTGTACAGGACCCCAGTGGCTGTACAGGACCTCTGTGGCTGTACAGGACCCCAGTGGCTGTACAGGACCCCAGTGGCTGTACGGGGATAGCTATTCATTTCCTACTGACATACACACAGACACACCTGCCTTGCCAATTTGACTGGATAGAGACAGAAGTCATTTCACACCCCACAACCCTCTCTTTCTAGGTGACAACATTTGATTGACAACCCCTTGCACCTACCGTGTCTGGCTTCTGCCTTCCTCCTCTCCTGTCTCCCCCACTGATTGGCCTGGCCCGGCCCGGCTGGCGTAATGGCTGCTCAATCTGGCCAAATCTATTTCCCTCCCACCACCAATCGTAATCTTGAATAGAGAAGATTGCGCTCAGCAAGTTGCTGCAGCGCTTCTGGAATCAATGAGGAAGAGAGGAAGAGAGAGAGATGGACATAGAGAGAGATGGACAGAGGGAGAGATGGACAGAGGGAGAGATGGACAGAGGGAGAGATGGACAGAGAGAGAGATGGACAGAGAGAGAGATGGACAGAGAGAGATGGACAGAGGGAGAGATGGACAGAGAGACAGATGGACATAGAGAGAGATGGACAGAGGGAGAGCAAGGGATGGACAGAGAGAGAGAGAGATGGACAGTGAGAGAGAGATGGAAAGAGAGAGAGAGAGAGATGGACAGAGAGAGAGAGAGATGGACAGAGAGAGAGATGGACAGAGAGAGAGATGGACAGAGAGAGAGATGGACAGAGAGAGAGAGATGGACAGAGAGAGAGAGATGGACAGAGAGAGATGGACAGAGAGAGATGGAAATGGACAGAGAGAGATGGAAATGGACAGAGAGAGATGGACAGAGAGAGAGATGGACAGAGAGAGAGATGGACAGAGAGAGATGGACAGAGAGAGATGGACAGAGAGAGATGGACAGAGAGAGAGATGGACAGAGACGGACAGAGAGAGAGATGGACAGAGACAGAGATGGACAGAGAGAGATGGACAGAGAGAGAGAGAGATGGACAGAGAGAGAGATGGACAGAGAGAGAGATGGACAGAGACGGACAGAGAGAGAGATGGACAGAGAGAGAGAGAGAGATGGACAGAGACAGAGATGAACAGAGAGAGATGGACAGAGAGAGAGATGGACAGAGAGAGAGATGGACAGAGAGATTGGACAGAGAGAGATGGACAGAGAGAGATTGACAGAGACGGACAGAAGAGAGATGGACAGAGACAGAGATGGACAGAGAGAGATGGACAGAGAGAGAGAGAGATGGACAGAGAGAGAGATGGACAGAGACGGACAGAGAGAGAGATGGACAGAGAGAGAGAGAGAGATGGACAGAGACAGAGATGAACAGAGAGAGATGGACAGAGACGGACAGAGAGAGAGATGGACAGAGACAGAGATGGACAGAGAGAGATGGACAGAGAGAGAGAGAGATGGACAGAGAGAGAGATGGACAG